TGCTGTGTGACCTTGGGCAGGTTGCATCATCTCTCCAGGCCTCAGTGTCTTCATCTGTAAAATGGAAACATACATTGTGATGTGCTGGGAGATAGATGTCAGAAGACTTTGTAAACTGTAAAAGGCTGCAGGGCTCTTTAAATGGGACTATTCTCCTCCTCATCATATGAATCACCATTATCTTCCTCATGATCATGATGATTATCATCTCTAGACCTGGCCTCCCCACCATTAATATGCCAGGCTGGGCTGCAGCCCTGCAGACCCTGGTGAGACACACAAACCCAGTTCCCGCTCTGGGACAGTTGTCTGATTTGGCCTCCACTTAGCTCTCGTTTCCGTTTCCTCTTATCTACCCTCTAAGCTGCCACGGTGCCTGGCCCCACTTTCTGTTTCCTCTGTTATTACAACAGCCTCCCCACTGGCCTCCCAGCCTCCAGGCTCCCTCCACCCCATCAACTCATTTGCTAAATATGTAAATCAGAACCTATCACTCCCCCACCCTCATCCTAAGAACTGACTCTAAACTCTCCTTATGAAATGCAAAGCCCTTGGTGATGTGGCCCCTGGAAACTCCTCTTTGCCAGCCACCCCCAATGTCCCCCAGTTATGCCACACAGCTTGCAGTTCCCAGGTATGGCATGCTCATTCCTGCCTCTTTGCCTTTGTCTGTGTTGCTCCCCCTGCCTAGCAGGCCTTTCCAGACTTTCTCTCCACAGTGAATGCCTATTCATTTTACCCTTCAGAACAAAAATGGCATTATTGCTTTTCCTGGTTATAAAAAGGATGCGTGCTCATAGTAAAAATTTCAAACAATATAGACTGCTCTGGGAAAAAAAGGAGATGTTTCCTCTCCCCATAGTTTCGGAAACTGGAGCTAGCCACTGTTAAAGTAACTCTGGGTATAACCGTGAAGGTTTTTCTATACATGTGGTTGTTAGCTGCTGTCGAGACATCTCCTATGAATGACGACCTTCTGTACAAAAGAACGAAACATTGCCCGGTCCTGCATCATCCTCATAATCGCCAGCACGTTTGAGTCCATGGTTGAAGCTATCGTGCCAATCCATCTCACCGAGAGTCTCCCATGCCCTTCTTGGTCCTCTGCTTCACCAGACATGATGTCCTCCTCCAGCAATTAATCCCTTCTGATGACGTGTCCAAGGCAAGGGGGTCAGAGAATGTTCTGTTGTGATCCATAAGGTTTTCACTGGCTAATTTTTGGAAGTAAATCACCAAGCCTTTCTTCCTAGTCTATCTTAGTCTGAAACCTGTCCACCATGGGTGACCCTGCTGGTGTTTGAAATACTGGTGCGTAGCTTCCAGCGTCATAGCAACACGCACATCACGACAGTATGACAAGCTGACAGATGTTTGGTGGTTTCTATACATATATACACACATATATATATGTAAAAATACACATATATTTATAAAAATGAGATCATCCATGCTATTTGGTAACCGGCTTTTTACCCTTAATGAAATATTTTGGACATGTTTTTCTGTAAGTGTAGTTTTGCATACTCATTTTCTGTCCTCCAAAATTCAGTTCTTTTGGTTCTCACCTCCCCCTAGCCCCACCTTCAGTGCCCCTTTTTACAAGGACTCATCCCACCTTAGACATCTTTCTTTGCTTTCCCACTTGCAAGGTTGTTACTTGTTTGCAGGTTGGTTACAAGTTGGCCTCAGTGCTGGGGGCCGGGGCTACAAAGATAATTCTCGCTGGGGTCTGCCCTCAAGGAGCTCGAAATGTCATCGACTCACTTCACTCACTTAACCGAGAGTTTGGCAGTTCAAACCCACACAGCCACTCTGCTGAAGAAACACCTGGCAATCCGCTCTAGTAAAGATTACAGCCTAGAAAACCCTATGGGGTAGCTCGACTCTGTCACACGGGGCCACCATGAGTCGAAATCCCCTCAATGATACCCAACAACAGCAATAACTCACTTACCTGTTCATCTTAACACATACTAGAAGCCTCCTCTGAACCACACACGTATGCTCTATTTCTGTCTGCTCCTGCCTTTGGGTGCAAAGCAATTATTCAAGGAGTCATTTCCCAGGAATTGTATTGTTTCTGATCCAGTTCTCATGCCCCCCTCCTGTATCCATCCTCTCTGTGCCCACACACAAAATCATACAGAGAACCCAGACCAAGATCCAAAGGAATCAATTCTTCCCCACATTTCCAATGGCTGAAGACCTTCCACTAGTTCCCTGACTCTGAGGGAGGAGATCAGCAGCAACTGACTCCTCCACACTCTCTTCCACCCATTCAGTCATTTATTCATTCAACAAACCAAGCACCACGTCAGGGTAGGCCTATGCTGGGCAGTGTAGGTAACAGAGATGCACGCTCACAGAGCACACACTCAAGGAGTCTCATTTGAGTGGGTCCTGGGCTCATTCATTCCACGAATGTTTATTGAGCATCTGCTGTGTCCAGGCACCAGTTAAGACTTTGGGAATGTGAATGAGGAAGAGGAAATCCCTGCCCTCATGGAGCTTGCAGTCTAGACAGACAGACCAACAATGAACAATCAAACACAGAAATAGAGAACTGTTTTTGTGGTCAAGGCTCTGAAGAAAACAAAACGGAGTGATGCAATCGTGACCAAGGTCAGACAACAGGTGCTATGTGAATTCGGGCAGGGCACTTCCTTTCCTTGGGTTTCAATTTTCTCACAGATAACGATCGTACTTACTTCTGTTGTGAGGATGAAATGAGTTATGTTCTGGGAAGCCTGGTACACATTAAGCAGCATGTAAGTGTTAGCTAACCTAAATGTCGGTGGTTCGAACCCACCAGCAGCTCTGCAGGAGAAAAGACCTGGCAATCTGCTCCCATAAAGACTACAGCCTAGGAAACCCTATGAGGCAGTTCTGCTCTGTCCTATAGGGTAGCTATAAGTCAGAATCGACTCAACGGCACACAATAACAACAGTATTATTATTTTTGAAGTCCCCACGTGGTCCAAAGCATTAACGTGCTTGACTGCTAACCAAAAGATCGGAGGTTCAAGTCTACCCAGAGGCACCTCTGAAGAAAGACCTTGCGATCTACTTCCAAAAGATCGCAGACGTTGAAAACCCTACGGAGCACAGTTCTATTCTGACACACATGGGGTCTCCAGGAGTCAAAACTAATTCGATGACGACCGGTGGATTATTATTTTTAAATAGATACATAAACAGATCATCAAAACAATAGGCAGTCCTGGTACCCCAAAGTTCATTGCAACATTATTCACCATAGCCAAAAGATGGAAATAACAGATGAATGGATAAACAAAATCTGGTATATACGCATACCAAAAACAAAAAAACCGAACCCCTTGCCATTGAGTGGATTCTGACTCATGGCAACCCCACGTGATGCAGAGTGGAACTATGCTCCACAGCCTTTCTTCCACTATGCCACTGGACAGATACAAACAGCCACACTTTCAGTTAGTAACCAAATCCTTTGCGTCGTCACCCAGTGACCTGGTACATACATACAATAGAATATTATTCAGCCATAAAAAGGAATGAGGTTCTGATACAGGCTACAATATGGATGAACCTTGAAAACATTATGCTAAGTAAAATAAGTTAGACACGAAAGGGCAAATGTTGTATGATCACTTAGATGAAATATCTAGACTAGACAGATGCATAGAGACAAAAGTAGATTCGTGATTACCAGAGGCTGGGAGGGAGGGGAGGAGGGCCAATGGGGAGTTAAAAAAGAAAAAACACTGGGCAGTAAGTGCAGGATAAGGCTATATAGATGCAGGGCATTCTGGGGGCACTGGGAAGCACCCCAGGTTGCCAGGTGCAGCTCAGCCAGGGAAGGAGGTGAGGGCCCTGGGCACAGACACCCTATCTCCCCTCACCTAGCCCCATATCCCCGGAACCACTGGCCAGCTCCAAGGATGTTGCCTCTCTGAGAGCTGGAGCAGGTGAGACAGGACGAAAGAAAGACACTAGCCTCACCTCCTTCCAGAAAGGAGGGCGGGCGCACAGGTGGCCTCTGAGTCACCCTCGCCAGGCACAGGACAGGCAGGACAGTGCCTGCTTTCCCTGGCCTTCTCCTCCCAGCGCCCCCGGCTCTCCCTGCTGCCCGTCTGGTGATGGGGACGCTGTGGGTGGGGGTGCCCTGACGCTCAGTCCATGTGGGAGGAGGCAGAATAAAAGGGCAACTCCCATTCCCGGGGTCCTTTCCTAGAGCCAGGGACTCCCTGAGCACACACTCCCCTTCCAAAAACTCTGTGGCAAAGTGGCAGTACCTCCAACTCTCAGAAGAGCACAGGGAGGCTGAGAGGGGACATGGGTCATTCTCAGTCACTCAGCTCATATGGCAGTGTACGGTGAGACTCTGACCCAGCTGCGAAGCGGCTGCTGTTTTTATCCGACCCCCTTCTGCTTAAAGGGGAGTGTGCTGGGAAAAATCAGAATGGAGTTGGCGGGGCGGGGGGCAGGGAACCCGACTGGGGGACTCAGGAGGTGGCAGGGAGTGACAGACAGATGTTGCTGTGGAGAATGAGATAAGCATGACCTGCCACTGAGGTGAGGGCCGCAGGATGGTTAGGAGGGTAGGGGGCCAGCCAGGAAGAGGTGGGAGAGACTGAACCACAGGGAGGAAGCTCTGCCTGTCCCTACCCCAACACAATAGGCATCCTGGCAAACAGGATGAGGATGGGGCAAGGCTCCCCTCTCTGCACCCCTGCCCCCACTATCATGTAGCCAGGTGGCCCCATTTTAAGCCCTGTGCCCACAGGGACCAGGATGTGGGCACCCAGGGATGGAAGAGCCCTGAAGTAGGCAACCCTGCAGCCCCCAGGCCCAGCCTCCGCAACCACAAGCCAAATACTCCTTGTGGTTTGGGCACCAGCCAAGTGCCCACACCCCTGCTCACGGGACCGCAACTTCCCTGTTGCATCAGGTTAATGGGCTCGAGCACACACCCTGAAGCTTGTTACACAACTGTGGTGCGCGCGCACAGCACCCACCCACTCCGGCGAGTGGCCTGGCACAGTCCCACACAGGGAACCACGGCCTTGCACAGCGGGCACAAGCCCTTACACAGCCTCACGGCACTGAGAGCGGGGTGGGGCGGGGGGGGTGCCCGGCAGGAGCCAGGAGTCCTGAGCGCTCTGCCACTGACTCATTGTGAAACCGCAGTAAATCACAGCCCCTCTCCAAGCCTCAGTTTCCCCACCTATAAAGGAAGATCACCTTCCACCCTGAGGATCCAGATGGCCTCTCACCTTCCGTGCCGCTCGACACCCTCCATACCACCAGCAACATCCTCCTTTCCTCCAGGAATGCCGATGAGAAAGGAGGCAGGAACTGGCACAGGGTGGAGACAGAGGGCTGGACGAGGTCAGCTCCAGAAGGGTCCTTTTCTGTCAGTGGTTTGTCAATAAGGTAGGTCCGATGAGGCGGACACTGGTTTTGTTGTTGTTGTTTGCTGCCGTCAAGTCCATTCCGACCCATGGCAAGTCCATGTGCGCAGAGTAGAACTGCTCCAGAGGGTTTTCAAGGCTGAGACCTTTCAGAAACAGATCGCCAGGCCTGTCTTCTGAGGTACCTCTGGGTGGGCTCGGACCGCCAACCTTTCGGCTAGTAGTTGAGCGCTTAACCATCTGCACCACCCAGGGACTCAACAGAAGGGTCCTTTTCTTATGGAGCTTTCCCCCAGTAGGAATGGGTGTGCTTTCACGGTCACCTCCTCCCTAGGAAGAATGAAGACATCAGCCAGAGCTCTTCTGAGAAAGGACTAGGTAGCAGGAGGTGAGAAAGGTAGTTTTCTTTACAGTTTTTTATTTTTTTCCTAACAGCAGACATGTGTTACATACTACTTTGCAATAAAACCAAACCTATTGCTGTCGAATCACTTCCAACTCATGGCAACTCCATGTGTTACAGAATAGAACTGCACTATAGTTTTCTTGCTTGTAATCTTAATGGAAGCAGATTGCCAGGACTTTCTTCCACGGCACCACTGGCTGAGTTCCAACTGCCAACCTATAGGTTAGTAACTGAGAGCAAACGATCTGCACCACACAGGGACCTTACGTTGCAATTGTTGTTGTTGCGTGCCGTCGAGTCGATTCCAACTCATAATGACCCTATAGGACAGAGTAGAACTGTCCCATAGGGTTTCCCGGGCTATAACTTTACAGGAGCAGATCGTCAGGTCTTTTCTCCCATGGAGCCACCAGTGGGTTCGAACAGCCAGCCTTTCAGTTAGCAGCGAGCGCTTAACCATTGCAATTGAAGGGGAGAAATCTGCTGGATGCATTAACCTCTCTCCCAGGGGCATTCGCCCTCCGACAGCACGATGCCTTAAATCAGTGTTACCCTAAGTGTGTTTCAGCAAAAAGGCTCAAATAAGCGCAGAAAACCTGAGCTAAAAAAAAAAATGCTACACATTTCCCGGACTGCTGGGACCCTCTGAGAGGAGGATGGGACAAGGAAATGCATTTGGCTTCAAAGCTCTTTACAGGCGAGCATCTCAAGAGACACTTTCTGGGCACTGTTGGAACTCAGGGTCCTGTGAGGCAGAAAGCTCAGAGCCTCCTTGGGAGGAGAGACAGCACAGGCCCAGGAGGGCACTGAGGGCAAGTGCCCTAGGCAGCTGCCTCCAACTGCATGAGTCAAACCCTGATCCACTGCCTAGAACTGGCCAAAGCCATGCATCCCGGTGAAGGCGGTGGCATGGCAGGTAGTAATGTGGGAGGAGCCAGTGGGTCATCCTGCCAGCTCCCTGAGGTTACTTAGATCTGCAGTGACCCCTGCTGGCTCTGCCCAAAATCATCCCTCCCCTTGGTTCTCACCCTCTTGGCCTATCTCACCCTCCTCACCCTATTTCTCCTCCCCTCTCCCTGGCCCTCTAGCATCCTCATACCAGCCTTGCCCCCAGCCCTACTGGGATTCACCCTGACCACACCCTACTACCAGGTCCCTTACTCTTTTCCCCATGTCTGAGGTTAGAATCTGGAAGGCTGAGACTGAGCAACATGTCAGCTCTGGAGCTTCTTCTGGGGAGACCCTCATGGCATAAGGGACTGCCTGATCCCCTATCAAAGATATGGTCACCCCCACGGAAGTCCAAAACCATTGTAATAATTTGCAAACATTCACTGGGCACTTGTTCTCTTCCAAGAACAGGGTTAAGTCCTTTATGCAGATTATTCCATTTAATTCTCATAAGAATTCTAAGGGGTAGGTGCTATTACTATATTAACCCTGTTATCAGATGAGAATTGAGGCTCAGAAGTAAAAAAAAAAAAAAAAAAAAAGTTAGTGGTAAAGCTCTGATTTGAGCCCAGGCCTTTGACTTTAGAGCCCACACATTAGCTATTCCGTTATTCTTACTTCTACCCCACCACCAAGTCCACCGGCAGTGTTCAGGTGTAGTTTTGCCTGCCCAGTACCCATTGCTTTGAGGAAGCATGGCTCAAAAGGCCTCGCCTCATGCCCTCCAGGTATGGCCTTGAGATCCAAACCTGGCCAGTCATTGTACCCTTCCCTTTATGCCCAGAACCCATTCTTCTGATAAACGTGTCTTGATTTCGTTTAGAGAATCCCCTGCCCCCCTCAGTAAAAGTGGCTTGCACTGCCCCGCCCTGTCTTCGGGGGTAGTCATGTGATTGAGGCCTGGCCACTCTGAGCCACAGTGGTTGGTTCAGAATGGTCATATGACCTAAACCAGGCCAATCAGAGTCAATCCCGGGATTTTATTGGCACCACTGGGAAGGAGAATGGCTTGTGCTCTGGAGTTGGTTGCTAACTGGGTAGGCGTATGCCTGGGGCTGCCAGGAGTACTGCCTAAGAAGGAAGCCTACACAGAGGAGAGCAGAGAGGAGAGAGTGGGAAATAGAGGGAGATTAAGCCCTAATGACGTTATTTGAGTTGTGCCAAAGACAGATCCACCCCTGATTTTTCAGTAACATAAGCCAATAAATTACTTTTTGTTGTTCTTTTCTTAAATGAGTTGAGTTCCTGTACTTTGAAACAAAGATCTATCAAAGCCTCCCCCCGCACACTGTTAATCATTGTTAACAGCTGTATATCCTTCTTGCCTTTTACTTCTATGCTTATACAGACATACTAGACATTTTTTAAATAAAAATTGACACCACTGGCTACTCCGTGCTTCAAGATATACTTTTATTTTTGTGAAACTCCATTCTCCTAGTTTTCCTCCTGCCCTTCTGAAGTCTTGTCCTTCTCAGTTTTCTTTGCTGGCTCCTCAGTCTGTAAATAACAGAAACTAACTCTGGCATTTATAAGCAAAAAATAAAATGAAACAAGAAGAAGAAAGATAATTTATTGGAAAGCTATTGAGGAGCTAGCTCAGAGAATTGACCGGGAGGCTAGAGTAGGTAGCTTGAGAACGGGACAGAAATTACTTGGCTGAGCTCCAAAGACCCCTTCCATGCTGATATCTGAGTTCAAAGTCCCTGGATGGTGCAAACAGTTAACCAAAAGGTTGGAGGTTTGAGTCTACCCAGAGGAACCTTGGAAGAAAGGCCTGGTGATCTGCTTCCCAAAAATCAGCCTTTGAAAATCCTACGACGGAGCACAGCTCTACTCTGATGCATATGGGGTCCCCATGAGTTGGAGATGAGTCCATGGCTACTGGTATTGGTACTCTAACTGCTCTGTGGACCAGGCCCTGGAGAGGAGTGCTGGAGACCAGTTAGAAGGTGACTGCAGTAGCCCAAGCAAGCTATGATAGTGGCCTGGATATGGTGGTAGCAAGGAAGTGAAAATGAATACACTGAAGAGCAATTAGCAGGTGAAACTTCAGGATTTGGTGATTCATTGGATGTGAAGGTGAGGGAAAAGCAGGTGTTGAGAATGATTCAATGACTCCCAGTTTCCGGTGTGATCAGCTGAGTGGTGGTTTCAATTGCTGGGCTAAGGAACCCTGAAGAAGGAGCAAGTTTGGTGGTCAGGAAAAGTCCAGTGTTGGACATGTTGAATTTGAAAGGCCTGTGAGCCTAGACCTGTGTCCTGAGTTCAGCCCTGTATATCCATGAGTGAGCCTCTCTCTAGATGAATGGCTCACAGCCTTTCAAATTCACCTCTGTTTCCCTCACAATGGTTAGCAACCTAGCGCATTAACCGCTTGCACCACCCAGGAACTTCGCAGTCAGAGTGGACCTTTGTAAACACAAATTTGATCATGTAGCCACACGACTTAAAATCTTTCAGTCACTTCCTAGTGGGCCTGAGTTAAACTTCAAAATTCTTAACAAAACCTGCAAACACCTGCTCTCTTCAGCCCTGCTGCTTCTCTGGCCTCATCTCAGGGTCACTTTCCCCCCTCCACCACATTCCAGCCACTCAGGTCTTCTTTCAGTTACTGGGACACCCCAAGCCCCTGCCTGCCTGCCTGTAGGCCTCACATATGTCAGTCCCTCTCCTTGGCCCTCCCATCCTCTTCCCACCCAGGCCCAGCAGCCTTCAGAAAAGGGGTCCCCGCACCAGGTACACCCCTCCCAGGGCCTGCTGTCTTCAGCTCCCAGAGCTTCTCTGACCCCCAGACCTTCTCTGACCTCCAGACCTCAGAAAATCCCTCACCCCATGTGATGGTTAATTTTATCTGTCAACTTGGCTAGGCTATGATTCCCAGTGGTTGGGCTAGACACTAGACTAGTTGCTGTTCCATAAGGTAGTCTGATGTAATCTAATGTAATTACATAATGTAATCTGTTATAGTCAATTAATCAGTTGAAAGGGGAGTTTTGTTAGGATGTGGTCTGTCCCCAGACTGTAAATAGATACTTTGACAGAACTCATTCTCTTTCTCTGCTCTGCAATCTTCCTGTCACCTGACCTGTGGGTCTTGGGATGAAAGCCTACAGTAGTCTCCAGCCTGCTGCCTAACCTACAGATTTTGGACTTGCCAGCCCCCACGATCACATAAGCCAGTCCCTTAAAGTAAATCTCTCTCTCTAAATATACGTACAAAACAAAAAACAAAAAACAAACCCATTGCTGTTGAGTTGATTCTGACTCATAGCGACCTTATAGGACAGAGTAGAACTGCCCCATAGGGTTTCCAAGGAGCCGCTGGTGGATTCGAACTGCCAGTCTTTTGGTTAGCAGCCTTAGCTCTTGACCAGTGCACCACCAAGGCTAAAACCAAACCTGTTGCCGTCAAGTTGATTCCAACTCATGATTCTGTTTCTCTGGAGAACCCTAACACACTCACCTTTCTCCTCTACCTTTGATGATTCTCCAAAGGCCTGAGGATGTCCCTAAGTGATGATGAAGGGTAAGGAATGCCGGACGGTTTGGGGTGAATCCCCACTAGGCTGTGAGCTCCTTAGAGGAGGGATCAAGCTCATCCATCCCTGTCTTCCCACACCTGGCACAGTGCCTGGCACATAGTAGGCACTTAGTAAATGGCTACTGGATAAATAGAAAGGCTTTCTGAATGTAGTTTGGAGGGGAAGGAAGGGCCTGGTTGGGTGAGGAGGATAATTTAAGATGCTCCCCACTGGGTTCTCCGAGGGGCTAGAGGAGAGAGTGAGACAGGAGGGTCTTGAGGGCTAAGGATCTGTCCCTACCCCCACCACAGTTGTGGAGAGGGGAGGAGGGCCTGTCAGGGGAGGCCAAGGGATGTCCAGGGTTGGTGGGAAGCTGATCCCAGCAGACCCTCTCCCTGCCCCTAACCACACACCTAGATGGCGTCTGTGTGTGAGTGAGCATGTTTGGCTATTGTCTCTGATCTGTGATGCTGCTGCTCCTCTTGACAGAGCAGAATCAAAGAGGCCACACAGGAGCTATCCAGACACACAGGGTCTTCCGGGTCATTGTCTTCTCCCTTCCCCACCCTGCCCCCATTCCCAGGGATCAAGCTGATCCCAAGGGAGGCCCAAGAAACAGGAGTAGTTCCAAGCCAGGATAGCTCAGCTGCAGATGTCAGGCTGGAAGGGCCCTCAGGGATCACTGGGCTCAGGCCGATACCCGAACAGGACAGATGAGGAAACTGAGGCCAGAGAGAGGACGGATTTGTCCACAGCCAGAAAGCAAGCTGGCGGCCAAGACCCCAAGACTCCTGGCTCCCATTTCTGTGCTGTTTGTCTTACCAGGTGCAGACACCGGGGAAGGAGAAGGAATCTGCAGGACTCACCACTTCAAAGGAGGAACCCTACTCCACCCACACGCCCACCCCCACCTCCACCCTCATCCCCACCTGAGCGTAAAGAGCATGAGCCCTGGCGCTAGATGGCCTGGGCACAAGTCCTAGCTCCACCTCTTATTAACAGTATAACCTTCAACAAATTTCTTAACCTATCTATGCCTCAGTTTCCTCCTCAGTAAATACAGATAACAGCCATTGTACTAGCCTTCTCGTGATGTAGGAGTAAATGAGTTGACACATATAAAGTGCTTGGAAAGGGCCTGATATATAGTAAGTTCTCAATAAACACTGGCTGTCACTACTGCGTGTCAGAAGGGCTCCATGTCCTACCAAACTCTTTTCTAACCCAGCAAAAGTCCTTCCTCTGAGGAGTGACTTTCAGGGGCAAGTGCGAGGTAGCTCAGCCACACCCACATCTCAGTCCCAGGATGTGAATGAGAGCGTGGCCCCCTCCCCAGTGCTCTCACCGACCCCACCCTCCAACCCCCATCTCTGGGACTCAGCGGCCTCTCAGCCTCACCAGTCGCCAGCCTGTCTGCCCGGCTGTCACGCCTGATGCAGAGATAAACACATCCCAGGATAGTATTTTTTCCCACTTCCCGCAGCTCTCAAGTGAGATCCTGGAGGGTAGGATTAGCTGAGCATTCAGGCAGTTTAGGGGTTTGGAAGGACTGAGAGAGGTTGTTCCCAGGGCCAGCCAGTCCCCAGTCCTTACAGGCAGTGCAAGCGGCTGGAGGCCCTGACGCTTACGGGGAAGGCACAAGGAGAGCAGCTGCAGCCTGAAGCTCTGGAAATATTCTGCTCCCACCACACACATACACTCACATACACTCACACAGACACACTCACACAGACACACACCACACTCACACACACACTCATACGCACCCACACGTGCACACACAGCTTAATGTGGAGGGAGGGGCTACCCAGCTGAGTGGAGAAATGGGGCAGCTTCTCTGCTAGTCAGTTCTCTCCCCACCCCCAGATAACAGCCTTCTGGTCCCTGTATCCCCCCAGGGGGCCAATCTGAGTAGCAAAGTGTCTCCTGGAAAAGAGAAACTCAGAGTCCTTGGCAAAGACAACCCACATCCCCCGAAGCCCATGACTAGCCGGCAGGCAGAGGGGAGGGAGTTTGGGGGACTGGACCATCAAGATTTGTGCTTACTTCATCGTTTTCACTAGGGTCAGCCTGGGGAGCGAGGCCTCTTCCTCTCCCAGCCAGGGCGGCCCCTCTCTCCCCACCCCACTCCCCAGCAATCCCAGTACTGCCACCCTCATGACTTCACTGCCATGGCCAGTCCAGGCAGGTGGCCAGGAGCAAGGGGCCTGCCAAAATCCATATGCCCTAGAGAGTAGCAAGAGCCAGGCATGGCCGGGATGTGTCACTAGCTGTAAAAATAGGGGAGGAGCAACAAGATCAACAGCCCAAGGCTGATTCCTATGAGGCGGAGGTCAGACATGCTTTCACTCTCCGACCTTTTTACCAATTCTGTCACCAACCATCCCTTTCGCAGCACCCTCTACTTCTCTGCTGAGTTCGATAATTTGTTGCAAAGGCCACACAGAACTCACAGACAATACTAATGATTATGGGGTTTATTAGGGAAGTAATAGGTTACAATTTAGGTTCGGAATGCTCAGGATACAATTCTTGGATCAGGACAGCCTCGTCTCAGCCTTGCCCGTGGGCATGCCTGTCTGGCCCTCGGCCTCTGCCCTGCTTCGGCAAGTGTTACAAAGCTCTTTAGCTCTGCCAATAAGTGCCCGGAGGCACCCCCCTCCACTAGGAAGACTCCTGTCAGAAGGCACTCAGCTTTCTCACTCCATGGGCCAGGAAGCCCACCACGCCATCTCCTGCCAGTCTCCTGGTTCTGCTGCTTCTGCTGCCACCATTTCTCTGCCGCTGCGTCTCGCTGTCTCTCGCCATCTCTGGTATTACAGCTCTCTCTCTGTCTCCTGGATCTAGGAGGTTCTCAGCACAGGGATCCTGGGTCCAAAGGACGCGCTCAACTCCTGGCTCTGCTTTCTTGGTGGTGGTGAGATCCTCCCTTCCCGCCTCTGGGATGTCTCATTTTAAGCCTAGTGGGATGGCAAAACTGACCAACCCCCTTGGTTTAGGGTTCCATACACCTTATTTGCAAAGTCCTACCACCACGAGGGTGCCAAGCACCATATTTACATTATTAGCAAGCTGTCTAATATCCTTGGTGGGCCACAAGCACCTCATTTGCATAGTCCCACTCAGTCGTTTGGTGGGAGTTACAAAGACTATGGCTAGAAGGGCCATGTTAAGTAATGTACTGCACTGCACTAGCATAACCTCCACCCACCTGAACCTACACCTGTGAAGACAGCCTGTTCCACTAAGTGCACTCCAGCCAGGCAAGACCACCTCTCCTCCCAAGTGGGCTAAACTTGGGGCAGTCCTCTACTCCTGATCATGTCTGTCAGCCAGATAGCCCAACTCCTTTGACTCCTGCTAAATTCTGCTCGGCAGTCCTGTCACAAGAAATCTGCCCGGAGTAAACATGCCTGCCTGTAATCTCTTCATTATTTCACATACAGATGGCAATTGTGGTAATGGTGGTGGTGGAGCTGCTGTTGGTGGTGGTGGTGATGGTAGTGGAAGTGGTAGAGGGGGTGGTGATGGAGGTGGTTATATGAACATAGAAATACTGATTGTGATGGTAGTTTCAGCAGTTTTGGTAGTAGAGATGGTGATGGTGATGATAGTGATGCTGGGGCTGGGATGATAATGGTGATAATGATGGAGGTGATGACAGTAACGGAGGTAGTTATTGATAGAGGTGGTGATGGTGGTAATGGTGAAGGTGATGATGGTGGTGAAGGTAATGGTGGCATTGATGTTAGAGGTGGTAATGGTGGTGATAATGGAGGTGGTGATAGCAATAGAGATGGTGGCAGTGCTAGACATGGTGATATAGTGTTAGCAGTGTGGTGATGGTGGATGTGGTGATAGTGGAGGTGGTGCTAGCAGTGAAGATGCTGCTGCTGATGGTAGGGTACTGATAGAGGTGGTTATGGTGGTAGGCGGTGATGGCAGTGGAGGTAGAGGTGGTGATGGAGGTGGAGGTGGTGATGGTGGTAGAGGTGGTGATGGTAGTGGAGGCAGAGATGGTGATGGTGGTGGATGTGGTGTTGATGGTGGTGGATGTGGTGATGGTGGTGGTTGGAGTGAGAATGAGGTGAGTAGGAGTATCTCCCCTTCCTCCCTAAGGCTCACACCCTCAGGACGTGAATAGATCACTAGACATGTCTCAAAGGACTATAGAGAGGGCATCCAAGCACAGAAAGCCCCAAAATCAATAAGGGCAATGTCCCCTTCTCCAGTTCTCCAGGGAGGCGTAATGTGTTCCCCTGTTAGACCTGTGGGTGCCATCCCTCCTTTTAAAGCACGTATCATATGACCTAGAATCTGCTGCGGCTTCCCTTGAAAGAAGGTGGAAAGAAGCCAAGGTTAAGAGACAGAGGGTCCTATATTGGGATCCCAACTAAATGGGGTAAACTTGGATTTGAACCTAAGGTCTAAAATGGGAGTAATTCTCATCTGCAGAGTCATTGTGAGAATCGAGATAAACATCTTTAAAGTGCCTGGAACAGAGTAGTCGCACAATAAGTGAAAGGTATTTTTCATTCGGTTTTCCAAGGCTTCCTTATCAAGCCCTTGCCTGCCCACTCCTCCCCTATACTCCTTTTGCCATGTGTCCCCTGTATTAGTTTCCTAGGTCTGCCATAAAGACTTACCATGAGCTTGGTAACTCGAAACAATAGAAATTTATTCTCTCAAAGTCTGGGAGGCCAGAAGTCGGAAATGAAGGTGCCAGCAGGGCTCTGCTCCCTCCAAAGGCTCTAGGGGAGAATCCTGCCTTGTCTCTTACTAGCTCCTGGTGTCTTGAAGTGTTCCTTGACTTGGGGCTCCAATCTTGCCTCTATCTTCATAGGAATCTTCACAAATGTCCTTCTCCCTGTGTCTCTGTGTGTCCTTTTCTGTCTCTTATACGGACACTTCCATTGAATTTAGGGCCCACCCTAATCTAGTATGATCTCAATCCTTACTTTAATTATACCTACAAAGACCTTATTTGCAAATAAGGTCACATTCTGAGGTTCCAGGTGGACATGAATTTAGCACACTACATCTCCTAAACCTCTGATGAGCAAAACCTAACCCCCCGACTCCCCCACCACCTGGCACAGTCATGGCCCCGTCCCTCCACCCCACCCGGGTCGTACCCTGGGTCCTCTGGCCCCGTGCCTCGGGCTCCTTGGTGCCCTGCATGCCTGCCTGTGTGCATGTGCACAGATTCGCCTCTGCACTTGGCGGTGAGAAAAGGGGATTCTAGGCTTGAGCGGGAGCCCACAGGGGCCTCTCTGCTCGGAAATGCTTCTTCCTCTCCCCCTGGCAGCTGTTTGGCTTGGCGGGGGCCCAGCTGGCAGGCTCAGCAGCCAAGGAGCCCTGGGAGGTAGGGGGAGGGAATGGTAAGGGGCAGGCAGCTCCCTCCTTGGGCCCAGGCCCTGGGAACTGGGCCATTGGCGGGCCTCCCTGCTGGCCAGCCCCAGCCCCCTAACTCTTGGTTTCCCTCCTCCCTGCTTCCCTGTCCTCCCCATCCCACAAAGGGGAATTCTAGAGACCCTCCACTCCCCACCCCAGCCGAAGAGAAGACGTGCAGAAGAGGAGCAGCAACTGGCAAAGAGAAAAGAGCAGTCAGTGGACCCTGGAGATTGCTCACAGTGGGGCTCTGGCTATTCTTTGAGGACACCCCAGGATAATGGACTCCTCCCAACCTCTGCATGCCCCATGCCCTGCTCCTTCCGTGTTCTGGAAATCTTGTGTCCCCTCAGCACTTGGCTTCTCTGAGCCCCAAACTGTTACCCATTTTTCCAAGTCAGGCCTTTCTTCAGATACGTGGGATAGAAAAATGCTCTCAGCCCCCAGCAGCTCCCACGGCCTTTTCCCATTGATGAGAAAATGGTAACGAAGCACGTGGGAAAGGACACAGCATAATGGGCCTGGATTTTAGAGTCCAGTTGGCCTGGATTTAAGGCCTAGCCTACCATTTAACCCCTGTTTGACCCTGGAAGGTAACTTAGCCTCTCTGAGCTTCAACTTCCTCCTCAGAAAAACAAGGTACTCGTATCTAACTTTTGGAATTGCAAGGATACAATAGCATAGCCTCTGAAAGCACTTGGTACAAGGAAAACGAAAAACCAGTTGCCGTCAAGTCGATTTAGACTCATGGGGACCTCATGTATGTCAGAGTAGAACTGTGCTCCATAGTGTTTTCAATAGCTGTGATCTTTCAGAAGTAGATCGCCAGGTCTTTCTTTCAAGGTGCCTCTGGATGGATTTGAACCACCAACCTTTCAGTTAGTAGCCGAGTACTTAACCATTTGCACCACCCGGGGACTTCTGGTACAAGGTAGTTGTTCTTTAAATGATAATAAGTTAGTATATGTCAGGCACTGTGTTAAGCACTTAACATGGATTATCTCATTTAACCCTAAGAATAACTTTATGAAATAGAAACCATTTCATGGCTATGGGAGCTGAGCAATTTGCCTAGAGTCCCAGAGCTAGTAAGTGGCTGAGCTAGGATTTGATCCCCAGTTCTGTGAGTCCAGTCCAGACCCTGCTCTGTCAACCACACTACTCTGGTGCCTCCACCAGCAACAGTATAAACATGGCCGATGTTCTTAGTATTCATATTACCTAGTATTAATATTACTAGGGACTGCTTGGACTTAGCCCTGGCGGCAGGCAGCAGCTAGGCCACAGGGATTTCCCCAAGGGGTCCTGCAGGTACAGCACAGAGGTTCTTCTGGCCCTGCACACATGGATTTGTATGCAGTTTGCAAGTCCGGAGCTGCCCAGCTACCTTGGCAATTCTGAAGGCCTGGACCCGAGGGCCAGCCCATCCAGCCTCCCAGCCACAGCGGGAGGCCACTGGACCAGAGGTTCCCGAGGCTCTCGTGCCTTGGCACATCTGGACGCTGTTAGCCGCCTCTGCCCCTCCCCACTCCAGCTGTTCTCAGTGGCTAATTCTGGGATGTGCCCCTCAGCCTGTGGCAGCTGCTGCTTACAGGGCGATGGGGGTCCTCACCACCATGTTTTCAGGTGGGCGGGTGGCAAGGCCAGACTACGCGAAAAACAACATACGCACAGGCTTGTTTGTGTTCATTTACTAATCTGTAGTGAACAGTTTCACATGAGTTTCACCACGTCGTTGACGTGAAGAAAAACAGATGAAATTGTACACTGCAGATTAGTAAATGAACACAAACAAGCCTGTGCGTACCTTGTTTAATGTAAACCGGTGCATATCTTTCTTACTGGTTAATCCGCCCTTGTGGAGGGTTGGTGGGTGGGCAGCAGAGGGTTAATCTGAGGCCGGCTCTGAGTAACCACAGCCATCACCCAGAAGAGCAGGTCTCCTCCTCCCCCGAGCGAGCGAGCGGGCTCTGGGCTCTGAGTAACCACAGCCATCACCCAGAAGAGGAGGTCTCCTCCTCCCCGAGCCGTGTCGGTGGGGTTACTAGGGGTTGAGTAATGAGGAGGAAAGAGAGGGGGAGGAGGCAGGGGCGAGTGTGGAGGGAGACAGGGAGCAAAGATTGAGAGAATGTTCCTGCTGGAAAAGAACATCAAAAGGTCATCTGATATTGTCCATCCGCCTGCTGCCTGGGGGTCACGGTGACCTTGTGGTGTCGTGGAAAGAGCACAGCCTTTGTTGAGCTGGGTCGCAGTCCTGACTGGGTCACCGTTTGTCTGTGTGACCTTGAGCAAGGTCCTTACCCTCTCCAGGCCTAAGCAACCTCATCTGTGTAATGGGACAATGGAGCCTCCCTGGCAAGGCTGCCTAGAAGGTTCTGTGAGAAAAGGTCTTTTACACCCGAAAAACGTTCACTCCCTGGTCCCTAAGAGCGCAGGGCACCTTCGCCTCGCTCCACTCCTTGATCCACTTTTCGTTCTGGGGGTCTCACTCTTTAGTTCCTGCCTCTGCCGCACCCATCCCCCTACTGGTCCTGCCCTCAAAAGCCAGACCCTCCCCAGAGCAGGACTCTCCCTCCTCACGGCCAAGCTCTGCCCTCTTTACTTCCTGCACTTCTGAAGACCCCCGCCCCTAGCTCTGAGGGCTCCCACTGCCGTAAATCTCCCTCCACCCCATACTACCAGTGACCTTGAAGAGGTTATTGGACATCTCTGAGACTCAGTTATCCTGAGGGTTAAACGGGAGCACTGCTACGTAGATGCTTTCTTATATGCTATCGCATGTAATCTTCATACCAATTCTGGAGAATAGGGTTTCTTAGCCTTGATTTAATCAATGTGGAGGGAAGGACAGATGCTAACATTCATTAAAGATTTACTGCCTACCAAGAGAATGCTGGGCCTGAGAGAAAAGCCAAGGGAAATTCTGGAGTCTCCTCTCAGAAGACGTGGCTTTAAAAAGCCAAACCCAAAAATCCAAACCAGTTGGCACCAGGTCGATTCTGACTCATGGTGACCCCATGTGTGGCAGAGTAGAACTGCGCTCTGTAGAGTTTTCAATGCTATGACCTTTTGGAAGGAGATTGCCAGGCCTTTCTTCTGAGCCAAGGATTGGTTAATATCTCCTACGGGCACTACCAGAAACTGACAGGTTCTCCAGGCAACGAGGCAGCCTCCTCCTCTTCATCCTGGCTGGGACACTCAGAGCAGCTTCTCAGCCCAACCCCATGGAGCTGTTCCATCCACTGCAGTTGGAAGTCCCCCACCCCACTTCCACAAGCAGTTTTCCTTCCTATTGCCCATCAAACTCCAGTCCCCCTGGAACAGTGAAATCACTTCCCCAGGTAACCAGCCTCCATTCTTAGCCTTTCCTCCCCAGTCTTCATGCCCTTAGCTCATTTTGATGACTGGTCAGCAGAAGCAATCCT